AAACGCAGAAGTACTGTAAATACCAGCAAAAATGGCTCTGAAAAGTCGCAAAAAAGAAGACTAGGCATAGAACAACGAGTCGTCAATTATGGAAAACGTACCTAGTAGTAGTAGTAGTAGTAGTGGTAGGAGTAGTAGTAGTAGTACTAGTAGTAGTAGTAGTAGTAGGAGGTAGTTAGTAGGTAGTTAGTAGTAGTATCGTCGTCGTCGTCGTCGTCGTCGTCGTAGGAGTAGTAGTAGGAGAATTAAGGAGTAGGAGTAGGAGGAGTAGGACTAGGACTAGGAGTAGGAGAAGTAGCAGTAGACGTAGGAGTAGTAGCAGTAGACGTAGCAGTAGTAGTAGCAGTAGTAGTAGTAGAAGAAGAAGAAGTGGTGGTAGTAGTAGTAATAGTAGTAATAGTAGTAGTAGTAGTAATAGTAATAGTAATAGTAATAGTAATAGTAATAGTAATAGTAATAGTAATAGTAATAGTAGTAGTAATAACAATGGTCGTAGTAGAAATCGTGTTGAACATGCAAGTCTAGTTGTGAAGGATCGCCAAAAATTAGGATTCAACAAGAAAGACGAGTCAGAGACTCAACAACAAAGCTTCCACATCTTCACAGCAGCATCAGTTTTTTTGATGAGACAGAATGAATCCTTGCTTCTTGGTGTTACTCCCTGGGGGTGAAGGGGTCTACTGTGAGGGGCATCCGGGTTGCTGAAACTTTTTGGCTGCGCGCCTCGAGGACGAGATGCTGTCCGGGCAAAGATCCGACGACTTGGGGAAGCTTTGGCCCCAACAAGGATGATTTTTTCTAGGACCCAGGGACCTGGACCGCCAAGAGCTGAACCCTGTCCTGGAACCCGCGGACATGAATCTAAACAGCATCCTTTCGTCACACTTTCGCTTGCGTGGGCTGATCAGAAGACACTTAGGGAGTGCCACCTTCAAAAACTCCAGACTCAGGCTCACGTGAATGTGCCATGCTGCATAAACCTGTGTGCCAGTATTCTGAGGAATCCACTGAATGGCCAAAATGACTTGGAGCTCATCCCAGGCGATGCGGCTATAGCAGTCAGAGAGATGAAGCTAAACCATTCCAGCATCGCAATTTGATGCTGAAGTTGTAATCACTCCCGCTCCCGTTTTTTGCATACTCGTCTCTTGACTTGAGCTCGATGGAATGCAAACTTTCGCGGGGAAATTTTTGGCTGTCTACAGCACGGGGGCCCAGGATTCTGGTTCTAATACAGTGACTCAGTGAAGGTAGCTGGATTCTGGGAATCCTCATGCCCTGCCATCATCCCCGGACTTGGAAGGATTAAGATGTCCAAGCCTGCTGTTGAAGAATTTGAAGATCCGGGGTCGATATGGGGATCTTTCCCACCGTGACTGTTCACTGTCTGAGGTTTCGCCCATGATGACACTCCTACTTCAACCACCCTCATGCAAATCTGGAACTTCAAACGGTTTACACCATACACCGTAGCCTTGATTACGTGTACCTGAGGACGCCAGTACCATCGAAACTAGGACTCCCAGGCTTCTTCTTCTATGCAGAGATATTTTTTGATTACAGCTTTGGAATAGCTGTTTCGAGGAGGTATTTCTGCATGTCTTTTAGCTCGGGGTTTTTGTCTGCAGTAATCTTCCTTGATCGCTCAGGGGCGCTGGGCAGATCCGGAAAGGAGTGGTGTCCAGATGATAAATGTGACCCTGGTTTCAGCCTTGCGCCCTCGGTATGCAGGAGTTTCCATACATCAGGGACCTCCAAGCTAGATACAATCCCAACTAACCTTCATGCGCATATATATGTGTGTATAGAAATTGAAGTGCTGCCAGCCGTTTCAACACAGAGAACGGCTGTTGTGATTCACGCGGGATTCCCCTGCAACAGAGAGCATCCCAGCTCTATGGCAAGAGCTTCAGCGGTAGCAAGACATCTTTCTTGGAAGCCAGCCCCACTTGGAACGAATCAGCTCTATGCTTGAGGTGCAATTCCGGAGGAAGTTCTTCACAGAGGATGCCTCAGACATCGTGCTCCCAGCAGCTTACCGCAAGAGTATTGGCCGGGTTTGCAACAAATAGCAGATTGCAGAGGTAACCAAAGATGTGCCTGCCACAATTTCGGGCGCTCCGATGCTCTCATAGCACCAGGGGCTAAAATTGTGAAAGCATGTTTCACTCGCTGGATGCATGCATTTTGACGACAAGCTTGAAGGTCAAGGCCTCCAAGATTGGCATCATCTTCTCTTTCGCCAAGTCAGACCCCTTCGAGACCTACCTGGAGCAGCACTTTCCCACCTCCACGGGATACATTGACATCGCCTGGAACCTGGCCCCTGGGCTGCTCTGGGTTCTCGTGAGCTTTTGGCGCTGTGTCTTGGCGTCGTAGGCATGACTCCCGGCCCCAAAACAGGTTGGCAGCAACTAAGGTCTGCGATCCTGGTTTTTTCTTTGACATCACGGTCACGGAGCCCTGGCCAAAGCCAATGCGTCAGAAGGCTGTAAAAGAAGATGCGTACGTTTCAGGCGGCCTTCTTCATAAGTCATCTCCTTTTTGAGGATGTGCACTCAGCAACCCTTACTTGGAGCAATCGCTGTCCGACTTGGGTACATGCAGAAATGTTTCAGTAAGCTGTCGCATGCTGCAAGAATTGTCAAGCCTTCAAGGGTCAGTACCGAATCTTGAAGGCAAGGATAGTGTGGGTGAGTGCCCAAGAAGTTCGGGTGATTTGGAATGGGTTGTATAGTCGGCTAGCCATTCACTCTCCAGCTTCTGCCTTTTGCCTTCAACCATCGTAGAGACGACACGATCTCCGCCTGACAACGTCGCCACAAATCCAAGGACAAGGTTTGGCATTTGGTCTGCTGTTTTTGAAGTGGTGTCCCTTGTGAAGCCTTGAGCTCCAAGGACTGCAAGCCATGTGAGAGAGGCTTTTTCCGACCAGCCAATACCTCCGTCTTCACATGTCTACGGGCGCCGCCTGGAACCTTCCAGAGGCTCGGCTTGACCCGCTGCTTCTGTCTGGGCAACACTGTGCAGTGGCTGCAGTGCTCAAGGCTTCCCAAAACTGGGCGCCTTGTACTTATGAACGGGGAATTGCAAGTTATGTTCAATGCTTTGAGGCATGCGCTCTTCAGGTGTTCTTTTCGACAGAGTCGTGCGGCTGCCGTTTTGTGGGCGTGCCTTTGATCTTTCCAACGCAACTTGAAGCCGACATCCCAGGACAAGTGCCAGAGTTTCTTTCTCTGGCCAAGTACCATTGATGCCTCAACCAGAGACGCAGATCAAGACACCTCTTTAAACCGCATGAATTCCTCTGGCGCCTGTGGAGTGCTGTTCAAGGTCTTGGCTTTCTCATGTGAAATTCCGAAACTTGAAGCCATCAACAGGCGGGCAGATTCCCAAATACTCCCATGCGGGCTCCCATGAGACCCCTAAAACTGCCAACTTGTAGATGGCTTCTAACAACAGAGTCCCCAGTCGCTGCAATCCATCATGCTGTGCATGCTGAGCCAAGGAATGAGACTGGCCAGGCAAATGCCAAACCGTGTAAGGGAGGCTTTACCACCTTCACGGCGGGAGCCACCGATGAGTTCGTACCCGGTCTTTACTGGGATCACGCATGACTTGGACTAGGAACTGACTCTCAAAGCTCTGTCGCCAATGTGGTCGAGGTTGGAGAGTTAGGAGTAGCGACTGCCACTCTCGCAGCATGCCAATGATAAAATTAATCATCGCGCCCTTCTCCATCATGGCCGTGATGCCGATTTTCAGCAGCCTCATCACCATCAGCGCCAAACAAAGTAGCTAAAAACTAGCAACTCTTTTCAGTAAGACGACCCTGATCACAGCGGAGAGACCATCAAGATAAGCCTGTCGGCACGAAAGCACATGCTCTGTCCAGGCCAGACTGTAGACCGGTCTCAATTGAAACCCCTTGTTGCACAGGCTGTGAGCAGACTCCTAACCAGGCCAGAATTTCAAAACATGAACATGTTACTATAAAGCTTTTGACAATTGAGGCGTGCGTTTGCCCTGGCCCTTCTTTGACAGTGCCGCGCGGGAGGTGCCTTGCCGCAAAGATTTGAGCTGGGCAGGTGTCAAATCGTGGCCACTTAGGTAGCTGTATGACAAAGCTTTTAAAGCTCGCCTTGGCATTGCCGTATAAGACCTGAAACGGGCCCGTTCACAACTGCAGAGGTGGACGTACGTGGGCCTAAAGCTGCCAGCTACTTTCTCAGTTAGATCCTGCAAAGGTGTGCGCTTTTCTTTTGCCGTTCTGCTGCACAAACACCGTGCCTTTGGAAGAATTGCATCAGGAGCTCATTATAACAACCTGTATGTGGGTACTTGGAACACTTCTGGTCCTTCATCCAGGTACCACGTGGACACTTGTGGAGACGCTCCTAGGCGGGACGCTTTGGGCGAGCTGCTTGCAGCCTGGCCATGCCTTTTCGTTTGCAAGGTTCCAAAGACCAACATAGCTAGAGGGGGTTTTCTTCGGTATTCGGCATTGCGCTAAGGATTTTGGAGCCTTGGAGCTGTTTGTGATGAGAAATCATCTGAGGCATTTCCGTCAGAGGCGGTGGCAGGGGTTCCAAGACATTCAAAAAACAGTGGAGTTTTGCTCATGCCGGCTACTTTGGTACTTGACCCTGTAACGTCTGGGTTGAGGGTCACTACAAGTTGTGCCCCTGAGTCTCACAAAATCTTTCAAGGTTGCCGGGTTGTTAGCAAGGAGCAGGCCACTCAGATTTGTTTTGAAGCCTGGCAGCTTTCGATGACCTTTTCAAGATTCCCTCCAGAAGAAAGCTCCAACCTGGAACAGCCCCAGACCGTTGACATACGTTCAAGAATCTCATGTACGAGAAGCCGAGGCATGTGCCCAACTCGGAACCTGCGTGGATTGCCCGGAAGAGCCTCGTACAGCAAAAGAACCGAAAAAGGCAACAGCCTTGAATCAGTTAGCGCACTGCAATAACTAAAAGCGAAGAGAGGTCCAGAAAAAAAAGAATCACATTTTCGAAAGCCAGAATCAGAAGCACTGGACTATCAACGTTCTCCCTCGTCAGCAGGCGTTTCAGCCCGCACTGCCATGTCCAAAGGCTATGACACGACCTCTCAGCTGACAGCGGGCTGACCGCTGTTCAATGGGATGTTGAGCTCGGGGCAACTTTTCCACAAGCTTCCTTTGCAATCCCTTGTGCTATATATTCTGCTGGACCAACAAGAGCCATGCCCATTGAAGGGTCCTTCACCACAATGCAGAGACTAAAGGCTTCAGAATTTCAGGCCCGAGACAAAATTGCATGTTTCTAGCAATCATGTTCCTCCACTGCATGTTTTTGGCTCTTGCATGCCAGCCGCGGCTGCTACTTCGAAGCACACTCCTCAGATTTCCTCAGCTCAGGGCATGATCTGCGAGGGCGCCAGGGACATTGCTGCCGCTCACCTCTTTTGCAGGGCTTTGACTTTGACGGAAACAGGGGTGGTGCTTTGGGTTGCAGGGGATTTTGTGGAGTGCTGAGCTCCCGATTCACTACAGTGGGAGGAGACCAATGCTTCGTCTTCGCGTTTGCGCGCGACATGCTTGTAGGCTGAGTCGAGGGGCATTCCAAAGCTTCAAAGCAGGACCGGGACTGATGAAAGGCTCCAACATGTGTAATTGCAAGAAGGGCGTGCGGTGTTGTGGTGGGGACAATTCCTTCAGATTTCTTCAGCTTGTTGTTCTGTTTCGTGCGCAAACGCTGTCATGCAGTTCCCAAAATGAAACAGCAAGCATGGTAGCCAGAGTCCAGACTTCTTGACATATTTGACATAATGTTGTCAGCTGAGCTTGCATAGTGTTATCTTGCTGGAAGCGCCGCCGATGATTGTAATACAGGCAACTGACGACGCTGATGTCAACGAGCGCATTGCCACCTTTTGCGCTTCGTATGCCTTCGCCGACACGGAGGATGCCTGCAACAAGTTTTTTCAAAAGGGTTCAGAGACCATAGAGACCAAAATCTGAAGCGTTCTAACCAGGTATCATGGTTTTGGGCGAGGATCTTTTGAGATGCTGATGCCATCTGAACTCAAAAGCGGCACGCAGAAAAGCTGATTCAGGAACTTGGCTTCAAACATAGTGCGGGGGCCTGAAGAATCACCAACAGTACGGTCCTATGGTCCTTCTCAAATGATGTGTAGAGCATGCCTCAAGAATACCTCGACATGTTATGGGTGGACATACTTTGGCTCCTACAATAATGAGCTTCCGATATTATCAAGGCACTCGCCGCCACTCACGCCTAAAGGCCTGCGTGTGCCATCTTGAACCGGGCTGGGCAAGTTCTGACGTCGACTCAACGTGGAAGCGTGCACAGCCCCCGCAGGCACAACCAAAAGACAGGCAGACATCAAACATGATGACAACCCCAATCCCCCAACAACCCCGGAACCTACCTTGCATGTCAGTCAGGAATCTGCTTCCCTCATCTTCCGTATATTCCAATTCGCTGGCTAGCGTGTCTTCCTCTCAGCGCTAGCAGCACCCCCGGTCATCAATATAAGACAGAGACTGCCGTGGGATGCAGATATCGCCATCCGGACGACTGAAAAGCGATACCCATCAATCTAAAGCCTGCGCCAAAACCCAGTAGAAGCAAAAGGACCCCTTCAGGTTGCTATCTATGGCATGAGCTTAAGCCAGGAGTTTCGAAGGACACGCTTGTGAATCATAGAAATCAAGTTCTCAAAGTATTAAAAGCCCTCCTTCGAGATCCCTAGGCCCTTGACATGCACCTTCTAGCACAATTTGCAGGCCTGCACATCCCGAGTTTATTGCGCTTCCAACCTCGAGGACCGGCAGCTCCAAAAGACTGCCACTTTTGCACAGCATAGTATCGTCTGTCTAGATTATTTCGTGATGTGTAGGAAACCGGCAAACAGCAAACCCCTGCCACCTTTTCTTTATTCTGGATATAGAGCCAGAGTTTTTTGAACCGGTGCCAGCATGACCCTGATGGATCCCTTTGATGCTCCCCATGCGTTGAGAAGTCCTGTCGGCGGGGTTCTTAAAGGGTGCTCCAGGTTTCCCAGAGAAATTACCCTACGGTGATGGGTTGAGAGTTCACGAGGTGTGTACGGGGTCGTTCATGGCATGTCAACGCAGTTGTCAGAAGCAGATGCACCTTGCATCGATGGGTCAGAGGGGCCCACCAGTACGTGCAATAAAGACAGACAAGCATTAGGTGACCCATGGAGTTATTTCTGCCGTTCATCAGGGTATCATCATACAGCGATCATTCACTAAGAGTTCCGATGTAGGTGTCCCCACATATTGTGGGTTTCTTCAGGTGCATGTAGTGCCTCTCGTTTTCTGGAAATGATTCGGCAGTTATGAGTGGGTGCCCAGCCCTCCCAAGCCAGGCCATCGCACGCAAAATTCAACAGCACCGTTCCTTTCAGCAACCTACTCTTTTACTTAAGCTAATGTGGCAGGCAAGTGTTTCGGGCTGGCACATTTACATTGCCGGGCGCGACCAATCAGATGCCGAGCCAGTCTGCTGATTCGCCCGCAGGACACCGCGTGCGACCATGCGCTGCCCAAGCTGCTTCCAGGCCTGGTCTGCTCTACCGGGACGTGAGTTGTGGTCGGCTAAACTGTCTTCATGCCAGGTATCAAAGCTTTTTGCACACTCAGTTTGCACATGTTTGCACATGCTGCTGCTTAGAAGCCCCGGCTAGCTACAGTGTGTTAAGTCCCTTGATAGCCTGTGAATAGACAATACTAGTTTGCATGTTTGCGGCTCCGAAACGCCTGCCAACAAAGCTTTTGCAGAGGGCTGCCGCGTAACCTCCGCAGCATAACCCACAACCCCTAGAACTTCGCAGGGCTCATCCCTAGATTCCCTAGATCAAAAACTCAATGCAGGCTACTGGTCCAATCCAGAAGAGCCACTCTCCGTGTCACTTGCAAGCAATGAAGACGAGCAGCACTTGCGCGGCTACAACAAGTTGCACCTTTTCAAGATGTCCTTGCGTCCGCGATGCAAGCCTGTTGTCTCAAGTTTTGATTGGACATCATGGTTCAAGCCCTCATCAGCGAACGGATTTCTGCGGGGGGACCAAGCCCAGAAGGAGATCCTTCATTGTCTTCTGCTCTTGCTGAAGCATTTCTGTTGCTCACCATGCGGAACTTAGAGGGG